AAATTCTGGGATTATAGGTATATACCACTGTGTTTTAACAAGCACTCCATTTTATTGAAGGAATGAACAAAAATTTAAACTTTTTCTGAAGCATGTTTTATTTTCAACATGATTCAAAATGACATCTTCTTGATCTACAAATTATTCTTCTGAAATACTGTCAGGTATTGAATATTGCCAGTTTATTTACAAAGTTATTTTACAGAAAGATGGATCAACAGTCTCTGGCAATTAGAAAGATAGTATTGTGTGAAATACTGTATTACATCTGAGAGAGAGGTCAGGGATTTGTATTAATAGCTGCCATTTAGTCAGCCCTTTCCAGATCTGAAGACAGAATCCCAGTTTACACTGTGTTAAGGAAAACAGGAGATTATTTGGAAGGATCCAGCTGTGTCTTGTTTTGAAGGAAGTTGAACAATCTGATTGAGGGAAGACAAACTGGGCTTGTCAAATAGCTGAAGCCCAGGATTAGAATGGCACTCTATGTCATTCTGTTTCTGTGACTCTTCCTATATTAGCTTCATTTCTCCTTGCAGATCACCCTTCCCTGTTAGGTTTTTAAAAAGAGGTAGCCGAGTAAGAACTGCACCATGCAAGTGGTATTCAGGTAAGGGGTATGTGTTCAGTAGACCTGCTGGGACCAGGCAAGGTTGGTACTGCATGTGGCTGGGAAAGGCCTGGGAAAGAGCGAGAGCTGGGAAAGAGAGGAAAGAGAGAAAAGAGCTAGAAAAGAGCAGAGAGAGAGCGCGTCTGGGAAAGGTGGGAAAGAGAGAGCTAAGAAAGAGAAGGGAGCTAGAAAAAAGAGAGGAAAGAGCTAGAAAAGAGCAGAGAGAAGGCATCTGAACCTGGGCTAGGCCTTATCTAGGGTATGGGCAGAGAAAGGTGTGGCCACATCAAATTCAGATGTGACCTCAGCAGATGCAGATGTGACCTCTTCCAGGTGTCCCAGTTGCCTAGGTAACGCAGGTACTGGTGGAGACTTTGCTGGGAGGAGGGTGGAGTCCGCTAGCCATCCAGGAGCGGACCTTACATTCCCCACTCATCTCTCTCCCCTTTTTTGGGTGGTATTGGTGTTTGAATTTGGGGCTTTACTTTCTAGGCAAATGCTCCATCAATGGAGCCACATTCCTAGTTTGAGTTACCTCCCTTACTGGGGAGCCTCACTACTGTCTAACTCAGTCTCATATGTTGAAACTTACCTCACCAGAAAGATGAATTAATTCCCAATTCTATCCAGTTCTGGAGAATTCACAGGAAACCTCTGATCATCCCAGCTTGAACAGCTGACTGTAAGAATACCATGAGGGAAGACTGACTGATGGGAAAAAGACTAGGTCAGCAATTCCCAGATGTTCACTGCTGAACCCAGTGTTCCTTCTTACCTATAAATCTTTGAGACAGGTGGTAGTATTTCTATTCTGGAAATTGTGGCACAATCCCTCTTAGAGGTCAAGTGGCCAGACAGAGTTCACACAGTTAAGTGACAAAGCCAAGCCTCAAATCTCAGTCTGCTGGTACAAAAATCCTTACTTTTCACTGATAGTAGGTTGCTTTTTCATGCAATAGAAAGGAAAAGGGAACTAGCAAATAGGTATAAAATGGAAAGTGGAAAGTGACAATAATAGCAGAATGGTAGAAAAATCTAATTTTCTTCCCAGTAACTGTGATCCTTAGCACCTTATTTTTTCAGAGAATAGTCTAAAGCTGTGCCAGTTTTTCTGAAATCAACAACCTTTCCTCTTTCCTGCACTGGCAGCAAATGGAATCTTAGCTTAAAATCTCCAAGACTGCCTGAGGGCTATAGGATAAATTCAATATAATTCTCTGATAGAGCAAACTATAAAATTAGATGCATCCTAGAGCCAGAAGGAATGTTTATTTCTCAAGGCATTTCCATTGGGTCAGAGTCCTCTGTGGACACAGGTGGCAGACAACAGGTCTGGAAAAAGAAAAGGAAAGGAAACAAAGAGAAAGAAGAAGTAGAATGAGTGCCAGATCCCATGCTGCTTATCTTCTATGTCCATGACCTGCTATGGCTTTTCGAGACTATTCATGGTCTACTTCAGAGGGCAAGGGAAATTTAGAGTAATGGTTGTGGAAATACCCAGATATTCTAATAGGTTTTGTAAGTTTGGAAGGCTGTCTCATGAGATGCTTTGAATCTTCTAATTAGAGATTTCTAATTACTAAAGACAGCCACGTTAGTAACTACTGCCTAATAACATCATTAGAACCACACTCTTGTTTCAAGTCAGACTCCAGGCAGAGGAAAAAGCTCAACATGGATTGAAAGCAGGCATTTCAGAGTGATTAATGCTGTTTTTAATCCACATGCAGTTTGGAATGGAAAAGTAGCCACATTCTATTTTAAAGAGTGTCTAGGGACAGTGCCAGATTCTTTTTTTGAGTACATTTTCTGGTAGTAAAAGTATTCTTGTAGTTCTTAAAAAATAAAATCCTTTGGTTGGTCTTATGGTTATTGTAATGTCAAAAAAAACTCTTCCGTCTGTGTTATCGGTTATTAGAGGTTAGGTAGCAAATATTTAGGGTATAGGTTGACAGTGGACTTGCTTGATAGAGTGGCTGTTTCAGAAGAAGAGTTTTGACTCTGGAAAATGAATTACATTACATTCACCAACTTTCATACGTTATTATAATAAGCCAAAGTATTTCAGCCTAAAAAAAATTCTGGCAGACAGTTTATCTTTCTTGAAGACTGAAATGTAAGCTTGTGTGAATCTTATTTGTTTTCTGGAAGAAAGAAATGGTAGCTTCAGTAGAGACAGTTCTGGTAGGATGCCAACTTGAGAAGACAAAGCTAGAGTAGGAGGGAACCTTTTCTCTCAGAAAGGATGAGACAAACATCTGTAGATTTAGATCTCAGTACAGAACATGACCCTTTTTGCCTTGCTAACTGAGTAGCATATGTTTTAGGGTGTTTGTCACTGTGTCATAACATGACCTACATGTCCGAATTCCATGCAAGCTGGGCCAAAAAGCCAATCCATTCTAGTGGTCAGCTGCCTCCAAAGCTCCTCTCTGGTGCTTTTTCATACCATAATAAAACGTGTTTTAGGAACCTCCAGTGGATTTAGGACTCACCTTCATTGCAACATTTCTGACATTAGATCACATGTTAGCCAAATAGTATTGCTAGAACGTGATGCTGAGCTTTTGAACTACATACTACTTGTGATTGTACCAGGATTGTTAGCTCACCTCATGCAGAGCCTGGTCTCAGTGCTCCCACCCATTTATGCACCCTGGTGTTTTTAATCCATTGGCAGTGATTGTTGAATTCCAGCTGTGCTTTAGGTTTGGCCATGTGCTATAGATAAGATAACATATCAGCAAAATGACTTTTTTTTTGTGTATATGTGCCAGTACTGGGCTCGAACTCAGTGCCTGAGTGCTATCCCTTAGCTTTTTTGCTCAAGGATGGTGCTCTACTACTTGAGCCACAGCTCACTTCTGGCTTTTTGCTGGTTAATAATAGTCTTGTGGACTTTCCTGTCGACTTTGAACTGAGTAGCTAGGATTACAGCTGTGAGTCAACAGTGCCTGGCCAATCACTTTTGAGAGTATCACAGAGCAAGTATTGATACTGAGATAGTAATCAAATACTGCCTGTAACCCAGCAAGGCTGGTTGACTTAACCATAGGGCATAAAAGAAAACCTTCTGTCCTTGGTACTTATTCTAAGGCATACACATAATCCCTGTAGACTGCTAATACTTATATATCCAACAATTCAAAAACACTATTTTTTAAATGAATTTATATAATGTAAGACATAATCACTTGCCTCTTTCCAACAGTCGTGTTGGTTTGGGATAAGCAGTCATTGATTTTCTCTCATGTTAGAATGGCTGAAGGCTCAACTCTGGGCCTCCTCTCCTTTTCTCTCTTCTGTTTTCCTTCCCTCCCTTCTCCTCCCCAGGTAGATGGCATGTATTAGGGACATTACTTGTGTAATGGAAAGAATGAATGAAATCCTGATTGGCATGGCTAACACTCTTGATTACTAAAGGAATTCAAGGCAGCAGTTGGTCTATAGGTCATCTTCGGTCACAGGACTAGGAAGTACAAGTGTCCTACATGTGTATACCTTTAGCACTTGTTCTCCCGAGTTACTCCTCTTCTACTGCCCCCTACTTTCTGAAAATAACGTGGGTTGTAATTCTTAAAATGTGTAACATCCATCTCTGTAGGTTTTTATTTCCATAGAGACATTTGGCTCACTATTAGCTCCAAGTATTCCTTTCTGACTTGATTTCATTGGTTCCCAAGTGTGATACTATAAATGTCTTCAAGATTTGCCACAAATTTGGAGACCCCATACACAGTGCTGACTTTTTTTTGATAGTGAAATCTTTAAGAACTTGCAGCCGGGCGCTGGTGGCTCACACCTGTAATCCTAGCTACTCAGGAGACTGAAATCTGAGGATCGAGGTTCAAAGCCAGCCTGGGCAGGAAAGTCCGTGAGACTCTTATCTCCAATAAACCACTAGAAAACTGGAAGTGGTGTTGTGGCTCAAGCAGTAGAGCGCTCACCTTGAGCTGAAGAGCTGAGGGATAGTGCCCAAGCCCAGAGTTCAAGCTCCACGACCGACAAAAAAACCCAAAAACTTTCAAACCCAGAGCTACCCCAACAAAGTCACCTATCTACAGTCTTTGATGGTAACTGAGCACAAATACGGAGACAGATGTGTTTGTCCTTTTTATTTTTGACATCAATAATATATGTAATAATCACTGATAAGGAAATAGTTTAGTTCTTACTGTAAAACTTTATGATGCAAATTGGGAGTCCCTAGTATTAACTTGGCTCCAAATGCTTGACTCTTGCTCTCCCTCACTACTATTTTGGTACAATATAATTGTCAGCCTAAGTGCAGTGAATCAACAGAACTTTTGGAGGCTGGAATTGATTACAGTGTAGTGATTGGTACTGTTCTACATAGCTTCTCATTTTTCACTTATTTCTCTTACTCTAGGCACTTGAAGAGGCCCAGAAAGCTATTCAGCAACTCTTTGGAAAAATCAAAGATATCAAAGACAAAGCAGAAAAATCAGAGCAAATGGTGAGTTTGTTTTCCTAACTTTTTTGTACTTCAATAGCAAGTGTTAGTTTCTCATCTAGTCATTGCAATTAATGGGCTTTTTCCTCCCACTTCTGGCCAGCTACAGTCATCCACTTTCTAGACAACCCTGGGAGCCCATTCCTGATCAAGTGGAACTGCTGGTGAAGATTCATCATTCCTGTCCTATACTTGAAGTCCTGCTTTTAATGTTTTATTTATTTATTTTTATCTTTATTTTAGTTTTTTTAGCCAGTATGGTGCTTGAACTCAAGGCCTGGGCTTAGCTTTTTTGCTCAAGGATGGCACTCTATCACTTGAGCCACACCTTCATTTCTAGCTTTTTAGCTGGTTAGTTGGAGACAAAAGTTTCTCTGATTTATCTGCCTGGGTTGGCTTCAAACTTCTATCCTCAGATCTCATCCTTTTGAGTAGCAAGGATTACAGACCTTAACCACTGGCACCTGACTTTGCATTGGTTATTTTTGAAGTATGGTCTGTCTTTATGCCCAAGCCAATCTGGACAATGATCTTCCTGCTTTTGCTTCCTTGTTTCACTGGAAATGACATTCACACTGCACCCAGCCATTGTATTTCCCTTGTAGCTAGAATGATAGGCATGTGTTACCATGCCTAGCTATTGGTTGAAATGAATCTCCTAAATTTTTTTCCTAGGCTGACTTTTGAACCATGATGTCCTAATCTCTGCCTCCCAGGAAGCTAGGATTACAGGCTTGAGCCACTACATTAGTCTAGACTTTTCTAACCTTATCAAGGAGGAGATGTGCTGAACTTGGTTCTTATATCCTCTGTGATCTAAGTTACATTATTATTGAGAGTGAATAAATGAAGTTTATTTCTTTCTTATAACTGGAGGTTTTGTGGCCCTGGGTCAAATCTGAAGATATGCTAAAATAAAACGAGTTTTCTAGTGGGGGGCTGGTGGCTCATACCTGTAATCCTAGCCAATCAGAAGGCTGAGATCTGAGGATTATGGTTTAAGCCATTGTGAAGGAATGTTGGTGGGGCTCCAATTAACCTACCAGAAAGCCAGAAGTAGACCTGTGTCTCAAAACGGTGGAGTACTAGCCTTGAGCAAAAGCGCTCAAGGACAGCACCCGGGCCCTGAGTTTAAGCATCATGGAAAAAAAAAGTTTCCTTTTAATTAATTATTATTTGTTTGTTTGTTTGTTTTGCCAGTCCTGGGGCTTGAACTCAGGGCCTGGGCACTGTCCCTGAGCTTCTTTTGCTCAAGGCTAGCACTCTGCCACTTGAGCCATAGTGCTACCTCTGGCTTTTGCTGTTTATGTGGTACTAAGGAATCAAACCCAGGGCTTCATGCATGCTAGGCAAGCAATGTACCACTAAGCCATATTCTCAGCCATTTTTATTATCTTTAAGTTGTACAAAGGAAGTACCATTTAACAAAGCAGTTTATGAATACAATATATCATCCCCTTCAACATTCTCACCCCCTCCAACCCACCCTGTTCCTTTTCTTAATTCCTTCCTTCCTTCTTCCTTCCTTCCTTCTTTTCTTTCCTCCCTCCTTCCCTCCGTCTCTCTTTTTTTTTCTTTCTTTCTGAGATAGGGTTTGACAGTTCTGTGTAGCATAGGCTGGCTTCAAATTCATTGTGTAGTCCTAGCTGACCTTGAACTTGCAATCCTCATGCCTAAACATTTCCAATTTGGGATTACAGGTGTGCACCTATGCTCAGTTCAAATTAAATTTGGAGGGTCTGATTGGAAGTGATTGTGATTGTTGTATTGTAAGAATGGTTTGGGCTTTTTGCGGACAATAGGGTAAACCTAGCATCTCTCTGTGTGTGTGTGTGTGTGTGTGTGTGTGTGTGTGTATGTGTGTGTGTGTGTGTTGCTTCATGTGCATTTTTTTTTTTTTTTTGCCAGTCCTGGGGCTTAGAATCAGGGCCTGGGCACTGTCCTTGAGCTTCTTTTGTTCAAGGCTAGCACTCTACCACTTGAGCCACAGCACCACTTCTGGCTTTTTCTGTTTATGCAGTACTGAGGAATCGAATCCAGGGCTTCATGCATGCTAGGCAAGCACTAAGCCACATTCACAGATCTCATTTGCATTCTTATAGAGCAACTTCTGGTTTTATCTTTGTTAACTGTCCTCCTTTATCTCCTGTTGTTTTTCAATATTTAGGTAAAGGAAATCACCCGTGATATTAAGCAATTGGACCATGCCAAACGCCATTTGACAACATCAATCACAACACTGAACCACCTACATATGCTGGCTGGTGGTGTCGACTCCCTTGAGTAAGTAATTCCTCATTGGGCCCATGGGAAATCTATCACATACATCATGAAAACAGCTTCATAGGTTGTTCACTTTCTAGCCCAGGAAAGCCTTACTGTCCTGCCCTACTTTTGACAAACAGGCCATAAGTCTTCAGTCTTTTTTTTTCATTATGTCCTCTAGAATTCAAAACTTAACAAAAAAGTGAGGTGGTGTTAATCTAAGAAGAACCCAGAAGACACAAGAAAGTGACCCCAAGAAATATGTCATTTACATGTGATTGATCTAGACCATTAAGTCAGACAAGGTGACTCAGGCCCAAAATCCTTCCCCACAGCCTCTGTCCTGGGAAATTTTCCTGCCTCTCTTAGGCTGAGTTACACTGTGACCAGAAATCACTTGAAAATAGATTTTTGATGTATCCCTCAACCCTCTAAAAAAAAAAAAAAAACTCTTTCAAAGATAATAGCTTCTAGTTTGGCTTATAGAGAGAATGATACCTAAACACAATAGAAATAGTATCAAAAGAAGCTGCTGGTTATTCACTATTGAGTAGTAATCCAGAGCCTCCTTTACCAACATTCTAGTTCATCTCTGTGGTCTACCCCAGTCTTAGTGTGGTTCTGCATGTGGACAGAAAAACAGCATCTTCAAAGAAATATAAATATGGCAAGAGTGGAGGAGTAAGCTGAACCAAAGAAGAGGAGCAGCAGACTCTTTCCTAAGTTCTTCTGTAGACAGTAGCCTGATCAGTCAGGGGGCTGAGAAGGTGGCTCAGTGGTAGAGCTCTTGCCTTGCATGCATGCAGCCCTGGGTTTGATTCCTCAGCACCACATAAGCAAAAAGAAAAAAGCCGAAAGTGGTGCTGTGGCTCAAGTGGTAGCTAGCTTTGAGGTGAAGAGCTGAGGAACAGCGCCCAGGCCCAAAGTTCAGGCCCCACGACCGGACCACCCCCCCCCCAAAAAAATGATCAGTCAGGACAGTAGGCCAGGGAGAATGGAAGAGTATTCTGTGTTAGCAGATAATGGTAGCAACATAACACCACCTTGGCTTGAACTTGCACCTCTCTCCAAATGCCTTTTAAGGGAAGTCATAAATTACACATTTAATGCAAAGCCCAACCCTAATAAAATTTAGACCTAATAGTTTGTACTTCCTTGGCTGTATGTAACTGTTGACTTTATTCACATATTTATTTAAACTTCACTAACCTAAGCAGTAGGGCAAGTAGACATCTATGATATAAAATTACTGTCATTGGCTCAAAACCTACACATTTAATATGTAGAATGCATACAAATGTCTCTTGTTGTATTCTAGAAAAATGCTGTCGTCCTCAGAGAGTAACATCATTATGCCGGTTGGTCTTTGAAAGTCCACTAGTCCTATACTACCCAATCCAAATCCAGGCTACCCAGATTCCCCTCTCCCACCCAATGAAGATCCATCACCCACACGTTCTTTTATAACCCCATATCACAAAACTCATATTTTTATTGACAGTTTAATTCAACCCACTGTTGTTAGATACATACTGGATTCTCTCCATTAATGGGTGTAGTTACCTTGGGACCTGGGCCCAGTTTTATTTACTTTCTCCCCCAGTGAACACAGCACAATATTTATTCAGCATTTGGTAAGTGTTTATTAAATCAAATTGATGTCTTTTAGAGCCAGAATAGATTTTTCTACATCTGCATCTTGTATCCTTAGTGTTTTTCTAGTTTTCAACTTCATATTTCCTTGCAGAGCCATGACCAGACGCAGACAGTATGGAGAAGTTGCTAATCTCCTTCAGGGTGTAATGAATGTTCTGGAACACTTCCATAAATATATGGGAATCCCACAGATCCGGCAACTTTCTGAAAGGTAAAACATCGTTGGAGAAAATTGTCTTTCTTAAAGGAAAGATGGTTCTAGGCTATGCTTTGTCACTTAGCTCAGTTTGTTCATTGTAGAGTTCTTTCTAGGAAGCAGCTCAGTGTTCTCTAATCTTACTTTACACTGGCTTCTTTACTGTGTCAGATAGTTGCCGTTGTATGTGTATTTGACTCTCAGTTTTCCACTTGTGAAGGAAACTGTTTCAGTTAGTTCCTTGCAACAAACTACCACAACATGTGTTAGTCTAAAACAGTTACTTTGCTTATGGACGTGGGTCTGGCTTAGTGTGAACAGTTAGTCTACGCTCCATGCAGCATCAGTAAGGCAAATGAAGTGGGGCCTGTCGCACTCCCGTGCCTGGCATCTTGTGCACACTATCATGTAGGGGCTCAGCGAGGCTATGAACTCAGATCCTATTTTCTTCCATGGGATTTTTGAACTTTCTCATGCCAGGATGTCTAGGTTCCAAGAATGAGCATCCCAAGAGACTGGCTTGCAAGTCACATAGCTTCATTTCTGCCATAGTCACAAGATAATCAAGATTCAGGAGGAAAGAATGTGTCTTCCCCTACCCTCCCTAATGAAAGGATGTAAAGTCAAATTGGTAAAAAGAGTATGTGGGAAGGGATATATGACTGTGCCCATTTTTAGCAGATGCTTTGTGCCTCTCGAACTTCAGAGATGACAAAATGATGACTTTCTCTCTAACATTATTCTTTATACCATGGTTGAGTTTTTATCCTGGATTCAGATCCAATGGAAAGAAAAGCAGATGCCTAGAGAGAAGAAAGATGAGGATCCTAAAAGGGGATGTATTGGAAACACAGTGCCTATTTCTATTAGTAGTAGTAGTAGTAGAAAGAGCACCAGAAGATGGACAAATCATTACCTTTCTTTTTTTTTTTTGGTTGGTCATAGGGCCTGAACTCTGGGCCTGGACACTGTCCCTCAGCTCTTCAACTCAAGGCTAGTGCTCTACCACTTGAGCCACAGTGCCACTTACTGCTTTTTCTGCTTATGCATCCAAAGCAGGCACTACCACTACCTTCCCAGTCCATCACTACCTTTCTTGAAGCACAGTACATATGAAGAGGTGGCCCTTAACAGCACTTGTTTTTTAATCCTGTCTTCTTAGGAAGGCCTGACTGCTATAGGCTTCTAATCTAAAATTTTTTTTGTACTATACAAGTAATACATATAAACACTTCCTTTTATTTAAAAAAGTCCAATATGCAGATAAAACATTTCCTTAAATTCCATTATTCTTCCTAGATGTAGTAACTATCATCAATGTAATGGATATCCCTCTAGATGTTATAATCTGCACTTTTATAAATCTGTAGTTCTGTTATGATATGTTCTTCTGATACTGCTTTTTGTTTTCAACCTCACAATGTATTTTAGGGCTTTTTTCCCACATCAGTATTTATAGACTTTGTGTTAGGTTTTTGTCACTGTGACAAATTTTTGAGAGAAACAACTTAAAGGAGAAAGGGTTTATTTTGGCTCATGGTTTCAGCTCATGATACCTGGTCTCCATTCATTCTAGGCCCATGGTGAGGCAGAACATAATGGCAGGAACCACATAGTAGAGCAGAGTTGCTCACCTCATGGCAACCAGGAAGCAGAAGAATGCCTATACTAGCTGGCTTTCTCCTCCTTCCTCCTTTAGTTATTCTGGGCCCCATTCACAATAAGTTAATGCTCTCAAATACCCAGATACGTGCCTTATCAATATAATCAAGGTGATAAGCAAGGATCTACCTCATTCTATGCATAGACTGTCATACTGCAAACATCACAGATTAGTCATTTTCATATACCAGGACATTTATTTCTAATTTTAAAAGTATACCTCTTTTTACACATATAGAAATATTTTCTCTAGGGTATATTCTCTATTAAAGACTTATGTGTATTGAAAATTTTGATAGTCAGGCACCGGTGGCTCACGCCTATAATCCTAGCTACTCAGGAGGCTGAGATCTGAGGATCACAGTTCAAAGCCAACCCAGGCAGGAAACTCTGTGAGACTATTATCTCCAGTAAACCAAGCTTGAGCTGTGTCTCAAGCGGTAGAGCACTCGCCTTGAGCTGAAGAGCACAGGGAAAATGCCCAGGCCCAGAGTTCAAACCCCATGACCGACAAAAAAAAAAAGAGAAAATTTTAATATAAGAATTACCCATTTGCCTTCAAAATAGAGATATATATTTATTGTACTATCTGTATAGCATGTAAGTGTCTATTTCCCCTTACTCTCAACAGATTTGATATTGTCAGTTCTTTTCTTAAAATTTTCTGTTGTTTGTTTTATGCTAGTATTGGGGCTTGAATTTAGGACCACGAGCTCTCCTTGGTATTTTTTCACCCAAGGTTGGTTCTCTAGCACTTGATCCACAGCTCTGCTGCTGGCTTTTTGCTGGTTAATTGGAGATAAGTCTTTCAGTTTGTCTGCCTGGACGGGCAGGAATCCTCAGATCTCAGTCTTCTGAGTAGCTAGGATCACAGACTTGAGCCAACAGTTTTTTTTTTATCAATTAGTTGGAAGGAAAGGAATATATAGTTCTTTTAAATTTTCATTTTCTTAGGAACTAATGAGATTTTCATTCTTTCCATTTGATGATTAGCCATTTACATTTTCTGTGTCAAGTGTCTGTTTATATCCTGGCTTATTAGTCTGTTGAGTTATTTATCCCTTTCTTACTGATAGGAAATCTCTATATATTCTGGATATGAATTCTCTTGTCAGATCTAAGTACATCTTTCTTGTAACTGTATTATCTATTTAGAGACAGGTCTTGACTACCCTTTCAACTTATTTTATGATAGAGTTCTACTTTCAACTTATTTTATGATAGAGTTCTACTTTCTTAAAAGTTCTGGTGAATCAGATTCCCCATAATAACCATTTTTGTTTGTTCATTTTTTGGCACTGGACCTTGCACACAAAAAATATATGCTTTAGCCAGGTGCAGGTGGCTCACCCTTATAATCCTAGCTACTCAGGAGGCTGAGACCTGAGGATCATGGTTCAAAGCCAGCCAGGGCAGAAACATCTATGAGACTTTTTTTTTGTGGGTTGTGGGGCTTGAACTCTGGGCCTGGGTGCTGTCCCTCAGCTCTTCAGCTCAAGGCTAGCACTCTACCACCTGAGCCACAGCACCACCTCAGGTTTTTCTGAGTGGTTTATTGGAGATAAGAGTCTCACGGCCTTTCCTGCTCAGGCTGGCTTTGAACCTCAATCCTCAGATCCCAGCCTCCTAAGTAGCTAGGATTACAGGTGTGAGCCACCAGCGCTCAGCTTAGGAGACTCTTATCTCTAATTAATTACCAGAAAACGAGAAGTGGCACTATGGCTCACCTTGAGCTGAAGAGCTCAGGGACAGCACCCAGGCCCAGTGTTCAAGCCCACGACTGACAAAGAAAAAAGAAAACATATGCTTTGCCACTGAGCTATATCCTCAGCCACATTTTAACCACTTATAAGAGTGCTGTTCAGGAAATGGTGCTGTGGTTCAAGTGGTAGGGTGCTGGCCTTGAGCTGAAGAGCTCAGGGACAGTAGCCAGGCCCAGAGTTCAAGCCCCATGACCAACAAAAAAAAAAAAAAAATTTGAAGAGTGCTGTTCAGTGGCAATTAAGTACATCATACTGTACAGCCATCACTACTATCTATTTCTGGAGCTTTTTCATCATTCCAAACAAACTAGGTACTAATTAAGCATTAACTCCTCATTTGTTTCTTTTTCTGTCTCTATGAATTTGCCTATTCTCATTACCTTATATAAATACAATCAAATAGTATTTCGTCCCTTTGTTTCTGGCTTATTTCACTTAAAATGCTGTTTTCAGATTCATTCATGTTTTACATGTGTCCAAATTCCATTCCTTTTAAGGCTGAGTGTTTCATTGTATGTATATTCCACAGGCTTTATCTGTTTGCCTGTTGATAGAGACTTGGTTGATGCCACCTTTATCTACTGTATTGCAAAATAGACAAATCTGTGGCATTGTATTCATTGCTGTCTACTAAAAGAAAGAAGCAGATGAGCTGATCTATTTTCATTTAATTTTCTTTTGCACTGAAAACATTTTGCGATTCAGGGCTGGAAGATGGCATTTATAGGATGTCTTTTTTATTGGTGTTGCTCTGTTCTTATTGTGTTTTTGATCTAAAGAGTTTTTTAAATTGTAAGAAAGAGTTCTCTTTTTTTTCCTTTGAGTAGTCTTTGTAATATTTTTTCCCTAGTTTCTCCTTGTAGAATTCCTGTTACATGAATATTGGAACTTCTAAGTCTGCTGCCATCTTCTTATTTTTTTAAGGAAAAATATTTTCCGTCTCTTTATCCTTTTAGACTGAATTCTGAAAGAATTCCTCAACTCAGTTTTTCTGTTTTAATTTATTTGTCCCTTGTGCCCATTCTGCTATTTGGCCCATCTGTTGAACTTTTATTTAACAATCCAGTTTTTTAATTTCTAGGATTTTTAGCTGATTCTTCCAGGTCATAATAATACCCTCTGCATCTTTCAGAGAATGTAAATTGTTTGTGTTTATTTGCCTGTTTGTCTATCTTTTGCTGTACAGTCTTTAGTTTGTTGCACATTGTGTCTCTCTTAGAAATAGCATTCTTTACATGCTTTGTGATTCTCAATTAACAACTTATTTTTTATCTTTAACCTTCTCTGTTAGTCTCATCAGAAATACACTTTACTACCATCTGCTAATGGGGAAAAAGTGGGATATAGAGCTTAGCTAAGTATGCCGCACAGATATTTTTTTTTCTCTTGAGACAAGGTTTTGTTTTGTAGCCCAACCTGCCCTTGATTTGCAGTTCTCCTGCCTCAACCTCATAAATTCTGGGATTAGAGTTGTTTGTCACACACTTCTTCTGAAGAAAGGTAGGCTACCAGGTAGGTGTGCCAGAGACTGATCTTCTGGACTTGGGAGTCTTGAATATTGTTGGCACCTCTATGTAATGCTGAGGTTCT